CGGGGATCGGCCTTGTCGGCGCCCGGCAGCCGCCTCCGAGAGGGGGAAGGAGCGAGGGGGGCGTTGCGGGCGACGCGAGGGGCCAAGCTCATGCTGCTGCTGCGGGCTTCGCCCCCTCGGGGCGCCGCCGCCGCGGGGCCCGGGCGGTGCCTCCCCTGAGAGGAGAGCGCGGCCGTTGGAAAGGCCGAGGAGCCTGTGGGCGCCCGGTGTCAGCAGAGTGTTTTTTCAGCCACCGAGAGATGTAATAAACGCGGATTATATGGTCACCCGATCTGAATTTGAGTGACTGTATAATCTGTTTGCAAGTGTTAAGAGCTATAAAGAAAGTCTGGACAAGTTATGTCCCCGCTCTCTTTGCAGATGCTGGGGAAGAGGATGGAGGGGATGGTGTCTGCAGCGTGGGTGCGTTGTCTCTTTACCAGGTCAAGAATTCCAGACTCGGTATGTGCTATAGTAGATGAGAAACTGAAAAATAGGTATTAGCCTGCTTAATTCTGTGCTTTCTGTGGTATGGCAGACTTCTAGAGACTCTGAGATGAGCAGGTTCGCGGTGCGCTGGGTGAAGAACTGGCTGAACTGCAGGGCTCGAAGGGTTGTAGTGAATGGGGCTACATCTGGCTGGTGACCGGTCACCGGCAGTGTTCTTCAGGGTTCAATTCTAGGGCCAGTTCTGTTCAATATCTTTATCAACGACCTGGATGCAGGATTTGAATGCACCATTAGCAAGTTTGCTGACAATACCAAACTGGGAGATGCTGTTGACTCTCTCGAGGGATGCGAGGCTTTGCAGAGGGATCTAGATAGATTGGAGCATTGGGCAATCATCCATGACATGAAATTTAACTAGTCCAAATGCTGGATTCTGCACCTGGGTGGAGTAATGCCAGGCACAAGTATAAACTGGGAGAGGAGTGGCTGGAAGGCAGCCCTGCAGAAAGGGATCTGGGGGCGCTGGTCGACAGCGAGCTCAGTATGAGTCAGCAGCGCGCCCTGACAGCCAAGAGGGCAAACCGCATCCTGGGGTGCATCAAACACAGCATAACCAGCCGGTCAAGAGAAGTGATTATCCCGCTGTATTCAGCGCTGGTGCAGCCTCACCTTGAGTACTGTGTGCAGTTCTGGGCCCCACCATTGAAGAAGGATGTTAAAGGTCCTTGAATGTGTCCAGAGGAGGGCAACAA